GAGAGAGAGAGAGAGAGAGAGAGAGAGAGAGAAAAAAAGAAAGAAAGAAAGCAAGCAAGCAAGCAATTGGAGTTTAGGAGAAAGAGCATGAAGATTTCTAACCGCTGCTAATCCCTTCGAATCCAGCTTCTTTTTCTCCTTAAGAGGGCAATAGAGGGCTGACTTACCGAACCCACGGATCTTCAACCACTCCGAGGGGCCAAACGGCCTCTAGCCTCTCCCCGTCGCCGAGCGCAATCCTAAGACGTATCCCTTTCCCTTTGAAACTACCGAACCCGCGGAGCTTCAACCACTCTGGGGTCAATTGTCGGAGTCCTCTAGCGAGGACTTAAGCGGAGCTGAGCCTGGAAAACTGTCCAGCCTACACCACGACCATCTTTGGTGTAAGTAAACAATCTTTTAATCAACCATTACGCGTCCATAACTAATTCTAGCTCGCCACTGGTCTTCTTCGACCCCGCGTGCCCGGGCTGCTGGCCACAGCCCGCGTGCGCAAAAACGGGTCCGCATATCGCTCCCGGCTTGCACATGGTGACATGGACGAGATCGGGAGGCGGCCCGCACAATAAGGACAGGGGACATGCTAAGTATGGGCTGCAGGGATACATATTTATCCCTTCAGGATCTCAAGCCCAGAATCTTTTCATAACAGTTGAAAGAGCAGGGACAGAATTTATTTTTAAGAGAAGGAAAAGAAGGGTAGGCAGGAATCACAGTGTGAACTGGGATGTCTGAAGTCTGCTTGTACCCTGTTTTAGTGTGGCTATCGGTACTTATGGCCAGGAGAGAATCCATGTATGTGAATCCTAAGTGAGCACAGGGCTTCCCTTTAGTTCAAAGGTAAGCACCTACTCTTCCTAAGGGACTGGGCTTAAGCCATGCTGATGTTCTTGACATTTCCTACTGCTTAGCTTATGCAGTTTCCTGCTCAGGATATTGACTTTTGTAGCTCCCATTCTAAAGCACTTAAGGGTATGTCTTCAGGGATCTCCATCACAAGTTGAAGGAAATCAGCCCTGTCCACTCATTCCTTTCCCCTGTGCACAAACCCCATAAAAGAGTTGCTAAACTGTCCCAGGGCACCTTCAGAGCTTAATTTCTGGAGCTGATAAGTGCAGAAGGGGAGTAGGGTTTATCCCCCTAGTGGCACAACTGAGGTTCCTGCTGCCATCATGTGTACATAACCAAATTCTACCCTGTATAGTGAGTCTAGGCACCTAATTTGGTTTGTGAATTCTACTGGGAAAATGGGTCATTAATGGCCATGGCAATGCTGAGTCTCTGTGTAAAACAAGGTACTGATGCTTACTTGGATGCACGTACTTCCAATCATGTATCTTGCAAGCTCTACCAAGATGGTCAAAAACCTGTTTCTTACCAAGGGCAGCTCCAGACAGGTGTGGTATGGTTGCATCTCCCTTTCCACAGTGTAGGTCAGTGGCTCTGGTTCTCTACAGCTCCAGATGCCTGTATCCCCTGCAGAATCCAGAACATACCACAGGAGCATCAGCCAGGATCTTCAAATCCTCAAATCAAATAAGAATTCCCCTGCTCGGCACACTGTCCATGCTCAGCAGCACCTCCCTTCCCATTCCCCTTCTCACCCTTTCTATTTATTCCTCTGGGTGCAGGAAGAGGAGATCCACCCACTGCTGCTGCTGTTCCTAGCAGACCTGGAAAAAGATTCAGAAGTGCTCCTGCCTCTCTCCAGCCAGAGATGATGGAGCAGCTCCACAGGGAGCCAGGCTCAGCCAGGATCAATGGCAGCAGCAGTAGTGGGAGGGTTCCCCCTCCTTCCCAGTCCCTGCTGGCGTTCCCTGCCAGCCAAGGGGCAGGTGCACTGCTGTCGTTGGTCGAGCACAGATTCCTGTGCACTTGCTCCCTGCCAGTGCTGTGTTCTGTCCACTTCAGCGGTAGAAGTGCGGTGGAGGGGGAAGCAGGGGGTATAGCTACTTCAGCGGTAGAAGTGCGGTGGAGGGGGAAGGTGGGGGTATAGCTCCCCCTGCCAAACTAGTCACTGCTCCCACACCCCTGTTTTCAAAGTTATGGATCTGCCTATACTTATTACAGCACATCTTCTGTGTCCATTCACACATTTCTTTATAGAGAGGTTATTGGGGGGGAAGGGATTGATTATTTGGGTTTAGTTCATTATTAAGCACTTCATAAAAAATAACCTCTAATATTAACCAACACTTAGCTGTAACATGTCCATGAATGTTTAAATTCTTTTAATGCTTTGATACTTAAATTCTACTCTGTAGACTGGGGGAGCAGTGTTAACTTCTTCAACAAAAAACTTTAGTTTGGCACCTTTTTGGCAAGCTGCTCTTAAAGCTACCTTCAAAATTAGACATTCTATAATCACCCATTTTTGGCTTTGTAAGGAAACATTCTATTTTGATTATTTACAAAAAATATTTTCTTGAAGTATGTGTTTACAGTTGCTTTCATTTTGTTTCATACCTACTATTATTATGTGAAATCTGAATTATACAAGCAAGTAAAGACTGCATCATGTCTGGAAACCTGTCATTCCAGGTACAGTACAAACACAGAATAAAATACAGGCCATTTCCAAGAAGCTTACAGTTTACTTAAGATTATATTTTTCCTCTGCCTTGGACCTTTTGTCTGTCAAGATTTCTACATAAATTTCTAAACATGCATAAATTATTAATAATTCTAGCCATCTATTCTAGCTAACCAAGAATTGCTCAATGAAGCAATCTGTCAGAGGAAAATTTTCAAGGGAAAGGACCTATTTAGATGGGCTCTCTCTTTTGAAAATATGTTGGAGAAGAATTTTGTGCTTGTCAGGATGTCCAGCTTTAATGTCAATATTTTATCCAAAAATACTTTAGGTTAATTTATAGTTAATAATAATGTAAAAAAAGAAAAGAAACAGAACATTGTGTATTTGCATATCTTTAACTGCATTTTGATCACCCCAATTTGATTTTTTTGCTCCTGATTTGGAGTTCCAGTAATTTGATATTTGTATTTCTCTTACCATTTTTAGAATGGGGAAAAAATGACAATATCATGAAAGCAAATGCTTAGGGGATGTAAAGACATAGCTCCACTTAGGCACACCTAGAGTGGTCAAGTGACTTTCCCCTGCTTGAACTAAAGATCACCCCAGAATCAGAAAGAGAACCTATGTTTTCTGCATCATAATTCAGCAGCCTGCCCACTACAGACACTGCCTTCCTAACATCAGGCTGATAACATTTGACACCTGTTTGGGACAAGGGAGAATCAGACTTGCTTTTCTTTTCATCTGTTAACAAGAAGGAGCAAACATTTCTCTCTCTAACAATGTGTTGGCATATATACACTCACAGCAACAGCTCAAAAAATGTTTAAAAAGGTATAATTATTTTCCTAACTATGACCAAACTATCAATCAGAAACATCTGCTGCAGAATACCCAAAGGGAACAGAAAGTGAAAAGACTGGGTTTACACTAGATGGGTTAAGAGAAGCTGTAGAAAAAGGATGAATAGAAAGGGTAGGCAGCATCGCAGGGGAGCAGCAGGCAATAGGGCAGAACTGGTTTTGCTGCTTAACCTGTGGGTTGGGTTAGGAGGACTATGGGGAGAGCATGCTTGGATCCTTCAGTGCCAAGACCTGGAATGGTATAAACAAGTTATATGTCATATCCAGATGGAAGAGGTTGGTCATGGATATCAACTGGAGTGCAATGCCAGACCTGGGAGCACCCTAGACATTGATGGAGCCTTCAGCAAAAGGTCAAGCATTACAATTATTCATGCATTTATTTTCGCCAAGCCATACTATGCCAATGCCCACGAGAGTATCTGTGATGACTACTCTGTGGTTTCTGGAACTGAATGTAAGGATCCACCCACTTCCTGGATGTGTGTGCAGAAAGCACTTGCTGGCATATCACTTCTGGGAGCAACATAGTCACTTCAGATTGTTAGATTTTTTGACCATACAGTCTTACCTAGATTACAGCATCTCTACCTCTTATCTATGTAAGAGGTACCCTCTACCCACCTTCAGAATCTGTAGAAGATCCCAGGGTGGCATACAATGACTGATGTTACTTATGTCCTTCCTCCAAACTTCTAGCAGCTGGCACAACAGGTGCAGCAAAGGGAAAAGAAAATACAGCCAGATTAACATTGAGCCACAGTCATCTGGCACCATTCAACCCACTTTAAATTAAGCCAGGGGCTAGTCCACCCAACCTGAGAATGCTTCTGCACTTCACTACTATCTCTGCTCCTTTTCCACTGAATCTACACCACATGGGAATTGAGATTCTTCTCTCCCTCTTTCACCATAACAGGAAAAATCATCTAGGACCCCTGTGCTGGCTCCTTTCTGGGAAGAAGCAGCACTCACTCATAGAATCTGCTTTCTCTGATTTTTCTGCCACAACCCAACCCTGGCAGCTTTCGAGGTATGAAGTAAGGGCTTAAATAGGCAATGAGGCTTTCACTCAATGACCAGCAGCACGTCAGGGTGTGGGCCTGTTTCAGGGCCAATAAAGAGCAGTAAATTTGAGTCAGGCATTTCATAGCTGCTTGTTTGTAACATACTGGAAGGAATCCAGACACTATAGCAGCAGGCTCTGAAGAAATACCTGAATGCATCCAAGTATGCCTTCTTTTCTGAGTAAATATTTGGGTCAGAACACACTACGTTTGATGAGATCTGTGTGGGATACAAGCCTGGCCTACACGCAGCTGCATACCAGTTTAATCAAATCATTTTAGTTCTAGATCTGTGCAAACTCTGTGGTGGCTAATTTCTTAACATTTCTAACCAGCTGACACTAAACACAAATTAATCCCGTTTATAAACTGAATGCAAATACAGCCTTTGGTACTGGCTTACCTTAATCAATTTGAACTTGCATTTTAAGTGAGACCAGTAAAACGGTGCCTGTAAGCCAACTCAGACACAGAGCATAAACATATCCTGTGCTGAAAATCACATTAAAGGGAAGAAGGAAATAACTGTTAAATGTCTTTAAGACATTAGGCAGGCAAGGCTCTTTGGGTAGATGTGATATCTTTTATTAGACCAACTAAAAATTTGGGGAAAAGTTTTTTGCAAGCATCTGGGCACACCCCTCAGGTGTTTGTGCACAAAACCCTCAGGTGTTTGTGACTGAAAGCTTGCAAAGAACATTTCTCCAACTATTTAGTTGGTCCAATAAAAGCTATCACATCTACTTGAAGAGCCTTGCCTGCCTACATCCTTAGACAAACACAGCTACAACCAACACCCCTTTACTATAGTAGGGCATAATCTGAAAGGCTACTGCCCTTGACTGCATTTTACCACTTTCTCTCTATACTCCTTTACCGTGTATCTCACATATTCCCTCATTCTTTACCCAGGAAATAAACAGGTATTTGACAGCTTAACAGATGGCAATTTGCCTACTATTAATTGCTGGGAAACTGGTCACACAGGGAAGTAATCCATTCATTTTCTCCTCCGCATACTAATTGGCATGCCTGATTGGTGATAAGGAAGAATAATTAGATATATATGGCGCACTAGTACTGATTATAACCTGCATAGCAAATACCTGCCAGAGTAGTGATTGCAGCTCTGTTTGCACTACCAGACAGAAAACTGTGCTTAGAGGTTATGCCCAGTACTCAGGGAGTGAGGCTCAGCCTGGCACAAGTTGTCTAGCTTACTGCATTCTCAATTGGCTACAGCAACTTCTGAAAAAGGGGAAAAAGAGGGATTCACTGATGCTCAGGTCTGGGGACAAAGGAATCTTTCTTACTGGTATACAGGGGCAGATCAAGGCGGGGTGAACTTACAACTTCCTCTGATTTTTGGTCCATCCAAAATTTAAAACCAACTGCCTAGCAGTGGCAGCAGCACATCTACTCAGGCAGTAGTAAAGAAGCCAGTTGACTTAATGATTCATTACAATTTGCTTGATTCCTTCTAGACTTTTCATTTCACAGGTGTTAATGGCCCACTTTCCTTTTAAATGGTTTTTAGTGATTCCACTACTCCAGTTAGCCTTACTTGTGTAATGCTGATGCCTGTCAGATGCTCCTAGTAACATAGTTCCCATTTCACAGCCTTGAAGACTGTTTTTTAACTGTAGTTAAAAACATTAATTCAAGTGTAGAAATATTATCTCAGGTGAACACTAGCTCAGATGTGGAAATCACTTTCAATAAAGACTTGGAGGTACTGTCTGGATGCTCAAGAAGGCTTGATTTTTATTTTATGAGTCTGACACAGAGGTATATTTACTATAATGACTCCAGAATTAACTGAACAACATATTTGGATTTTTTTTTGCCTAGTTTGTTGTGTTTTATAAATATCATATAGCAAATTAAATCACATTCCAATAACTTTTTTTTCCCTTCAAACTTAAATTGAATAACTTAGCTCTAGGTCCCTAGCTTATTAGTGAAATTTTTAGTTTCACTTTAATTGGAGAAAAATATATGTTGTGTTTATATGTGAAGATACACCACACCATCTGTACCCCACCTTTTCAAAATCCTAGATCCACCTATGCTGGTATTTGACCCTGCCCACCTCCTCCCTCCCAAAGGGAATATAACAATCCAGTCTTTTTCCCATCCTCATTTTAGTGACACTTGAAGAGCCATATATCCCAACCCTGGAATAGATACTGCTGAAAACCATAAACCACGATTCCTTGCTAAAACAGTTGTGTAAAAGTTTGCTCTTCACTAAATCAATCCCAATTAGGTTAGTAAACATGATTTTGTTGAGCTTGTGGGTATTTACAAATACTGTCTACATAGCCTTCCACACAGCTTCCCCCAGGGTGGAGTGTTTATGATAATCCCTCACACAAGCAATGGCACATGTGCTTTTACATAAAAAGTCAGAGGAGACCCTTACCAGTCAGGACAACTGAAAATGAACAACAGATGGGGCTGTTCAGGGGAAGGAATGATTTTCAGGCACAGAGGTCCTGTCTAGTGGTTCAAGGAGAGCCTTCAGAAATATTTATTTTATGAACAAAGATGAATATCCTTCAATTTGTAACAGAGAAAAATGAAACATTATCATACAAGGCAGTTTCAGACTCATCTGCTATGATAAATGCATAATAAATAAATATTTAGAATTAGGGTCAGATGTGGAAAGTCTCTGAAATACTGACCACTGGGATTGTTTTTACGTATATATGTATTTTAAGGGGCGGGTTGTATGACTTCCTCCTTTGCATATCAAAGGGTACTACTCAAAACGCATCCAAAGCAGGGATCACTTCTGACATGGTTGGTCACAGAGTTCTGGAAATACTGGATCAAATATTTCATAAATATTCATTCACACTCTTAAACAAGTTTGTTTTGTAGATGTTGACACACTTTTTGTTTTGGCTTTCCATGACTTCTACTGAATGGCTTACTGAAAAAAATGTTCACCCCAGTGGCCTACTCAAAGCCAACTGAGCTTAATTTTTACAGAACACCAAGTTCCAGTTTGTCAGCATGAATACTCTCCAGAGAAAGCTGATTCTGAGAGTTACTCTCATCTTATTTGGAAGCAGTAACATCATGTGACTAAACATCCCATCAAAGCCACTCATATTTTACATACCAGATACTAAAATCCAGAACCAGCTCACAAACAAGCTGTTGCAACCAGCACAAAAATAAATCTTGAAATTTGATGGCTAACAATTATTTTAATAAGTAAATGAAAAGGTGATTTTTTTTTTAAAATTAGATATAATGCTCTGAATTAATTCAGTCAGCTCATGGAAATGGCTTAAGACCCATCAGGATAAGGGACTTTTGGAACCCCTCACCCTCTCAATTTTTTTTAACGTGGGCTGCATTTGCTGTCAGTATCATGTCCCAGTGCAACTGTTCAGTAGATGAGAAAATACCCAAATTAATAAGTGCTTAGACAAGTCTTGTGCCAATACAAACAGGCTGCATACTTACAGGCTGCTATGCTCAGCTACAGCAAGCAACTATTTCTTTTTCTTACAAAAACTCAGTACTGGCAGATAATGAGGAAATATTCCCTCGTTCAATTCCCTCATTGCTAGTTATAAGTGAGTTGTAAATTCTTTTTTTTTAATGGAGCACTACAGTGTTTAAAGGGAGGAAAATGCATGAACTAGCAACCACCAGATTTTCTTCCTTGGTTGGATGCAAGTTGCAGTCAGGGAAAAATGGAGCTTTGATCAAAAGCTGATTACAATTCTTAGGTCTGATCCTATAATGAACTCTGTGGCTGCAATGGCTCATCCACCCGGAGGCCATGGTGAGATCAAGACCCTGTATCAGATAAATAATGTCCTTGGAATTAACACATCCTAGAACTGAATCTAGTGCATATATTTCTTATTCAGTACCCTGTGGAGATTTAAATTAACTTACTCCCAATGGTAATGACATACTCAGACACCTGCTGCTGGAAAAGCCAGGCACTGAGCACATGAAACAATCACATTGCTAATATATGACAGCAGTTGACTGCAGCCCTATTGGTATTTCACTAATGCCGTAAAATATGAGTATCTGGCCCTTGACATTTTACATGAACTCAATCCTAAAGACAGGCCTACAGTTCAGAGTAAAACAGTGCTCTCAACAGTAACAGATGCTTTAGCTTTCCCTCACTTCCAGGGCCTTCTCTCACTTTATTCAATTAGGTTACCTACCTACTTGCATTCAGTGCAGATTTAGCCACCTGTTGTTGAAACTTATTTACATCAGAAGGAGGGAGTCTTTGCAAAGAGTGATTTCATTGGATAAGAATCCAGCATCATTTTACATTTGCTAGAGGAATTGGTTTGGATCCTTTATTAAGATCTAAAGGCACATGTACATGGCATTTGTGGCATGCTCAGGAATACTGTCATATAGTATGTCATATGCCTATTCATTCCTGATTCCTGCATGCCAACTGTTAGAAATGAGGCAATGAGACTTTAGAGCAGACCTGAGCAGGTACTTTTGGGGCCTTGTTACATGTTGCCCTTTGGGCTGTTCAAATGATGAACTGTCTTAGTGCTAGCTTGAGTTTGGACCAGTCATACATTCAAGCCAGCAGAAGCCCTGAGGACTGAAAGGTAAGTATTATCCCTCCACCCCCATTCTAGGTTTCCTCCCTGCCCCTTGATCCCTTGGAGCTCCTCCTGTTTCCCCTCCAACCTGAAGGACTCTTCCCCTGCCCCTTAGGGCCCCCACCCGCAAGGTGCCCCCCGCCCATGTCCCTGGGGTTCCTCACTGTCCCCCCCAGACCTCACAATTTACCCACACTCC